GGGAAACCTTGAAAGTTCGTGAGATCAGGATGGTCTCACGAGGCTACCTCTACAGGCCTTCATGCACAGAAATTTTATCAAGCTGATTATAATGCCTGTAGCTGAGCACACAGCCTATATACAGACTTAGGATAATGGGAGATAGGGCATTTAGTGCTGCTGCCCAACATCTGAGGAATGTCCTCCCTGACACCTTAAGGGCACATCAATCCACTGAGTGTTTTAAAAAAAGGCCTTAAAACATTTCTTTTTAGCAAAGCTCTTGGTCCCCTTTAGATGTGTTTTTTCATGCTTTTTTTCTCTCTTTTTACCTGTAGCACTTGGAGATGTTTTGATGGAAAGTGCAGTATAAATTAAATGTTTTATAATTATTATTATATTGACACATAAGTGAGAGTGAGTCAGAAAAATACTAAAATATTACAGATGGTGCCAGAATGCTGATTCAGAAGACTGTCTGTTTTTTATTTTATTTTATTAAATCTCCTTAAAAATCCTTCCACAAAAAAGAAAATTATAACAATCCACTGGACTTTGTTTCCAAGTTTGAAGACGTTTCGCTTCCCATCCAAAAAGCTTTTTCAATTCAAAAAGGTGAATGGAAAGCGAAAAAAAAACTTTAAACCTGGAAACTAAGTCCAGTGGAAGGATTTAAATTTTCTTTTTTTGGAATGAGTATGACCTGGATGACTCAAAAATATTTATACTTCACTGATTTTACATTCAATCTGGTGCAGCTACTGGTCGGGTTCTAAATTATGTTTTCAATTTGGTTGCAACTGCATACTTTCAAAGAACTTTATCACAATTTTATTTTATTTTTTTTACATTTTCCGCTGTGTTTCATATCCAGCAATATCAGGTTTTAGATGCCTGTATTATTCCCCTGGAGTCTTGCTTGGGTTTTTGTACCAGAACTATTCCAATAAAGCTCGTACTTCCTTATTGAATTCATCTTGTACAGCTCATCTAACATCAAACATATTTTCAAATTATAATTTTTTTTTTTACTAAAATTGTTTTATTTATAATTAGAGTTTTTTTTTTAAATGTTCAATTGTTTATTTTTCCTCATTTCCATTTTCAGATTGACTATAATTAATTGTCTTCTTTATAAATTGCGTTCTCTAGATCACATTTTTATCATTTCTGGGGGCGGGCTTACCTCAGGACTTAAGAGTCAAGATGTATTTTTATTGGTCTATATGGATTCTGACAGCAATCTAGTATTGGTCACTTTATATATCAAGGGTTTTAGAATTTATTCTGTAAAAAAAAAAATATTTGTGAAGCTGATCTAAAAAAAAACTTGAATTTAAAGGTAAAATTTGAAGGATAAATAAAAAAAAAAGTTGAGAAAAGAGCAAAGTTAACCTCAAAACCTGTTTTATTTTTTTAATTAAAACATGTTTCAAAGTTTCATTGTAATTTAGTGATTTTTGGCTTGCAAAAAAAATGTAACAATATTAACTCCTTCTTCTAAAAATAAGATTAATATGAGCTGTTCTGAATTTGCGTATTTAGATAAAGTGAAATAGTTATAAATGAACATTGTCAGATCTTCTTTTAGGTTGCAGTACATGGTGTTATTTTTGAGTTTTTTGTGTGCAGATGGTGAGTTTTTCTAAATTAAGAAGTTTACAAATACAGGAGAACGGATTATTTTTTTCCTCTGCTTTGTTTTTTGTTTCTCCTTTTCATGGTTTTTGGAGTTGGAGGAGGTTCTTATAACGAACGGTCTTCTGATGAGCGGTTTTACACCAGCACCGCTGACCGTTTCCAAGTATCATCTGGATCCAGAGGAGAGGCACACATATTTGCATTTTTCTAAGCCAAAACAAGGCTTTGTGTTTGGTCCACCCTGTTAAGCTTTNTCCAAGTATCATCTGGATCCAGAGGAGAGGCACACATATTTGCATTTTTCTAAGCCAAAACAAGGCTTTGTGTTTGGTCCACCCTGTTAAGCTTTGAACTATTTCTGACATTTTGAATTGAAAAGGCTTCCTGGATGGGAAGCGAAACGTCTTCAAAATTGAAAACAAAGTCCAGTGTATTTTTGTTGTTTTTTTTAGCTTTTTTGGAATACAAATCTTACACTTCTTCTTATATTTATACTTTTCAGGATAAGTACACTCCACTGTGCTGTTCTTAAATGTATAAAATACAGTTTATAGAAAAGAAACTAAATATGAGATAACTATGTATACTGGTATCGTGGGATTTTGCAGAAACTAACAGAGGGTAATTCTGCTTAGGGCCTCAATACAGTATTGCTGTCTGCCACTTTAAATAGCAAAGGCTGATTTGTTTGTTGTATAATCTTTTGGCTTCTCTAAGGTTTAGATCACCTTGCTTAATAACCAATAAGGGAAGCTGTGTTGTGCAAGATGTGAAACGGCCTGCAGTGAGTGTTTTTCCTGTTGAAGCTCGGTCACTGACAGCAGCAAGGCCCCCCCAGGGGCCTCTCTGGGGAAAGGTTAAAGGAATAAAGTCTAGAGAAGAGCCGCATCCACATCCAAACAGGGAGATTTTCTTTCTTTAAGTAGATTTTTTTTCTCTACATTTGCATGAAACTAATTAAGATTTGCAGATTATTATTATAGGTGTTAATCATTTATTTATTTTCACTGATAAAATGATTCAGGTCTCATAAATCTATGGGGACCAATAGTGGATTAAACCCATGAGTCATTCTGCAGTATGAACAGGTAGAGGGGCTTTTATTTTGAAAGGGCTCACAGGAAATCACGTAGGTGATTTTGATTGTTGTTTTTATGATCACTTCAGCCGCTGTCAGGTAAGTAAATCCAAACATTTTGAAACTTTGTGATTAAGATCTGCAATGAAACAGTCGGGCTGTTTGGAGCTTTTTAAACTGAGCAGTGAGGAAGCAGGCAGGAGGGTTCAGATCTTCTTTCATTTCTGCTCATCTACAACTTTGGGTTTTTTCTTTTTTCCGTGTCTCTGTTCTGCAGAAAGTCTGTGGAGGTTCTGTTTAGAAGCTCCGTCTAGTCAGCTGGAAGCTGGACGGAAATATGTTCCCAAAAAACTGTTAAAGTATTTATCAGGGAAGCCAGAGGAGGGGAAATCTATGGAGTGAATTCTGTTCCATTATTAGTGAAAGCAAAGAGCGTAAATGGAAATTGAGTAGAAAACCCTCTCTGGCAATGAGGCAATAAGAATAATTGTCTTGATGCCAAAAAAGAGCCCAACAGATTTTTCTTTCACAAGTACAGCAGTACAGCTATCGCCATAGTGTTCTGCTTGATTTATGCATATAAGTTGCTTTATTATAATTATGCAGGAAGTATTACAGATTATATGGACACTGTAATAAGTAGAACAGGAAAGGAAAAACAGGAAAAAAGGAGAAAAGATGAAAGAAAGAGGAGATAAAATGATAAAACAATCAATCAATCTAGCTAGTTAGTGTTTTTCACTTTCTATTTTCACGTTTTTTTTTTTTTACTTTAGTTTTTATTTTGTTGTTACAGATGAAATATAATTTCTTCAAATACATTTTTTATTTCTGTTTTATTTTTTCAGACGGAATAATAAGAAAATAAAAGGTAATTTGGAGGATTTTCGCAAATTTTTCAAAAGACCCACCCTCTCCACTTGTGTGGTTGCGTGCACGAGCCCATTTCTCATCGTGCACGCTCTGTTTAAAACTTGCTTTTTGCATAGCTCATACAAGCTTACTGGGTCCGAACGTCCGCCCTAAATCGCTCAATCACTATGTAGAGCGGGGACTATATAGTGGACTTTATAGTAAACTCACATAGCTGACCGTTTGGACAGATGATCACTGCTTTTTGCTACATTGGTCACATAACTGCTGCTCCACTGCGTGGTGCCAGCGCCATCTTCGTTATTAGTAACCGCCGTCGGGTAGCGACAGCGGGCCGCTGTGACATCAAATCCCATAATGCCTTGCAAGGAGAGTTCTCTGCGCAAAGCATTCTAAGATATATATCCCCCTCTTCTGAGGCCTCTCTTTTCTTCTTATACACTTCGTAGACAATTTTTCTCTTACGACTTTCTGCCATTTTCAAAGAACCACGGTGAGAAAGGTGAGCTTCAATGAGTGTCTCAAACCATAGCTCACCACATATATACGCCTGAAAGTGTGCATGCACAGAAAAATTTAACAGGGTGAGCACGTAGGACTAGCTTAACGTAGTCCTACTCAATTCTAGTCAGAATGAGTGATACTGCTCCATAGAGCTGTGATTATGGGGCGTGTTTCAAACGAACCAGGAAAAAAAATGCCTCT